GAATGCACCAGGCTCTCCAAACTTATCCGCTCTACTCTGTCTCATGACTGAGGTTTTTGCAGCCACGATATAAATTTTATCGAAATTTAGGTACTTTTAGAGATAAAATCTGCTGATGGACGAACAGACTGGGCATTTCCTTTTTATATACCCTACTTTTTTTAAAAAATAACGCATTGAAAGTAAAAACCTTTCTCGCTGTGTCCGAGTGTTCGTCTTTCTGTACAGTTTACCTTAATATCATAGCTCATACGAAAAAATGTGCTCTGTAAATTCTGTAATGTTGTATAAAATTGTTTTTGATCTTTCATATATATTTGCATATTCAATGCAATAATATATCTCCTATGCGTTTTGTGACTGTAGCACGTTGTTTGAATCCTTTTATTGGGTTTCCAGCTTGTTGCTAATATGAAAAATATGAAGGTCATATTGTTTGTTTTGACTTTAGTGGTGGCCGCATCTGTACAGAATATTATTCCCATCCATCCAATCGACCGACACTTTCATCATCCCCAGCTGAGGTCTTGTAGCCCGGTAACCAGTCGCCAGTTTTGTCTTTTATTGATGTCTCATAAGGCTGGACGCACACCGCTTAGTCAAGAAAAGACACGGTTAGACAAGATGGTGTCAGAAAAGACAAGATAAGTTGCTTGGTCCTTAGCCACTAACGCACACCAGGCTTTCGCGAACTTTGTCTGAGAACGAAGTTAAATTGGTTAGAGTTATAATGGGTTTGCTGTAGTGCTGACTCCAGAAAAATGTTCTTGGTTGTTTCCTAACGGGAAAGATTTAAAATAAAAGATAACATTTCTAACCGAGTTATTCCCGAGTCGTGTTTCTCTGCTTCTCATTGTTACTACACAGTGAAATTCTATCGCAGTTGACAGGCGGTGTTATAAAATAGGCCAAGTTTGATTTGAAGTTCTCACGGCGGCGACTATGAAGTTGAATGTCTTCTGAATTGTTGCGCCGTGTAGTCTGGTAGAAATTTACCGACGTTTCAGAGGTCCTTGCTGCCTCCTTCATTAAGACGATAAATAAGCCGCACGCGAGGAATTGGTTTGAGTATCGGAAGCTGACGGACAACATAGAACCTTGGCCGGACGAAAAGGGTTAGGATATAGTGAAAGCAAGGGAGCCAATAGAAAAGGGCAGACCTCAGCCTCGACTATGGGGGGGGTGGGGTGGAGACACAGAACCATGAAAGTAGACGGGTAAATACAACAAGGATGGTAAAGAACGAAATTAATTAAATGCGGTGGGAAAGGTTTGTTTATACCAAAATAGCAAGTCTCTATTTCTGGACAAAACACAAAAAGCTGACATACAAGTCTGAACTTGGTTAGAAACCGTGATCCTAATTTTCTAGCTGCCTACACATAATATATCGTACGACAACCGACGTCATCGGTTGTTTCAGTTATAGGATGTTAGACAAAGGATGTGAATTACGAGAATTGTCAATATGCAGATTTTTTCTGTGCACAATCTGTTTCTCTGCCCAGATAATAGGTAGATCTACATTCTCTTCCATATGCTATTTCTTTTAAAAGAAATTGGAGTCTTGAGCACACGATACCAGTGAAAATCTCTTCCATATGCTATTTCTTTTAAAAGAACTTGAAGTCTCGAGCACACGATACCAGTGAAAATCAAGTTTTATGTTTTAATTTACAATTTATTTTCTAAAGTAATGTCAAGAATTATACGGGATGACTTACAATTATGTCCCGATTTAAAGAAGATAACCCTGAAATGTTGCGAATATTCTGCACTTCTAAATACGTAAATTATAAAAATAAACTTTAAGCTTTCACCAAATTTAAAGTGTTTTGTATCACTTCGCAGCTGTGTTCATTTCAGCTTTATGATTTCTTGAAATCGTGGCCTATTTTTGACTCTATTGCATTTAAATACACAGGTACGTTTCAGTTGCTTCTTCTGAGAACACGGCCTTTGAAGTCTGCATCTGTCAAGTCTACCATGATTAAAATCCACATTATGGTTAGTTTGTTGGTTTATAAGGTATTTAACAACTGTGTATTCATTGAAGAGGTTCTTGAGAATCTCTTGATGTGATTATTACGTGAGTAGGATATAGTTCTTACGTACACAGTTTTAGAATATTTCATGTTTCTGTTCCGGAATTGACTTGGGGGAGCAATGTAAGACTACAGAATTTCTCAGTCGCTTCTGATTGTATCGCGGTCGAGATTCTAGGTGAATATCTCTCGAATACATTTAAAATCAACAAACCTGATGTACCACCCTCATTTTAATTATGCATTTATTTGTAAGTTTTACTGTTTAATGTATTTAAAATTTTGTCGTGTTGCTGTTATGCGTATACCACCGGCCGTACATAAAGCAATCTTAAACCATTAACTGTTAATCAAATCAACTGCTCAAAATGGCTTGTTAGGATTTTCTGCAAGTTACACACGACTGCCACATACATCATCAGCCTCTTGCTTCAAATGCATACTAAACAGACATTCGCTTACGGCAGTGATGTCAAATTTTATTTCGTGAAGCAAAATTATATCCACTGAAGGTGCTGACGGGGAAAAAAGGATGGAGAGAAAAGCTTTCAATTTTATTTCGCTAATAAAATGAGAGGCCGTGCATGTTCGGTTAATGCGAAATAGCTTCGTACTAAAGCGAACATATCGGGGCAGTCAGAAATGTTGGCACTAACATGAATATGACGGCAGCAGACATTAAATATTGTGGTTAAAATTGAGTGGACGTTTTTAATGCAAGAGAAGTCTATTTGACGTTAACAGGTTCCGATATAATGGGCGACGTAACACAAATGTAGATTGTATTATGACATTTCGATGCTACGTATTTCAGACAAGGACTGAGTAAAGTAAGTACTTTTCAAAGAGTTTCAGCGTTGTGCATTTACACAGTTTTTCTTATTTTGAAGGAGTTTTGAAATTTTAAGGACTCTCACTTTCCTTTAAAATTGATTCGAACAGATCGAATCGAATCGACAAATCTGCTGACATATGATGTTTTTAGAACGTATGGTGCCCGTTATTTCCATCACATAATGATTTTATAGAGTAATATTGCAGCTTCATGAAGGTAAGAAATGTGTATAGAATTTTGGTGAGGGTAGGTTTTGGAGAGCGGGGAGTTTGGAGATAACATTAAGATGGAACTTATGGAGATCGATTGTGAGACGGAGCAGGTGAAGAAGCCTGCAGTAGTATTGACGGAAATTAGGGCTTCACAATAAATTATATTTTGTGAACTGTTAATTTTATAATGGTTAAATTAGAGAGGGGTTTTTTCAAACGGCTAAGACAACATTTTTTCGTGTTTGATGTTACAGGTACTTTGTGATTAAAATGTAAAATTAGAATTATCAAAAATTACATTTATTCAGTTTCGTTTTCTCTGTCTTCTTCAGTGATATATACTCTGCCCTCACGTTGCAAATTATACTTCTGATTTTCCTTTTCAAATGCTGCTTCTCGTTTGTACGTCTTTCCTGGACCTGTGTTTCACTATTTAACCCAGTTACGAAGCGCTGCCATTAGCAGGCCCCGACTGTGTGATGACAAATACATTTCTCGTAATCTCTCTCATTAATGAGCGGACGACTCCTGTCCTAAATGACAGTCAAACCCTTCAACGAATGTGCCGCTGAATACAGTTCCCCATTTTACACTTTTTAAAGGTCTGTTTACATTCAGACATCACTTTGGTAATGACGTTTGTATCAAGAGCCGTCGGCCTTCAGAGTCGCAAATTACCCTGCGTGATGTTTTCTGTTCCTAAGTGCTGTTTGTAGCTGTGTGAAGTTCAGATGTCATGACTACGGACGATAGCATGAAAGAGTCAAAATGAGTGTCCCGTCCTTCATATTTGTAATGACAGCAGGACAAAGCAGATTAATTAATGGTGATGATGCTGACAGACGCAGTCATCTCTTTGAGCACAGAGAATGAGTCTGTAACACAAATCATGCGGATAAAACAAATCTGTAACTAAAGAATTTATATTAGTTTTGTTCCATTTATTTAATTAACGACGATATCAGTAGGTCATATTGCATGGTGTTGAATATCAGGATGACTGTTAAATAATGAATTGGAAAATAGAGGAATGAAGCGGTTGTGGTCTAATTTAAGATACTATACAGGCATTTACCTGAAAATCTCACTTAGGATACACAATCTTCGGCCGAGATTTGAATCAAGGACCTCCCGAATACGAAGCTGGAGTGCTACCATCACGTTAGGAATTTTTCATCTGAAAACAAAACTTAGTAATAATCATTTAGTTTAGTGACTTGTGTAAAATTGTAGGAATACCTATCGGTATCAGTTACATTTTAATTAACTTTAATTTATCGCGTCACAGTATACTTTTAAAAAACCAAATCTATTACTATATCAAATACAGCAGCAGTCTAGTTAGTTTCAGTAGACTGTCCATTACGTTCATTAAACCAAACATCGAATATATGTCGCTGGACATTTTTAAGTTTACACAAAAATTTCTTTCGCTAGTGTTGTGTTCTTGACAATATATTTATTATTATTATTATTATTATTATTATTATTTCGAGATTTTGATTTTCTATAATAAGAATCAGTTATGGAAATGCATTATAGCATTTTCGCCTGTTCCGACACCTTCATTCCTAGGACGATTCATTCCTTTGCAGTACGCCAACAACGTCCTCCTATACCACAAAAGACAAATTCTTCCATGTCTGAAGCGGGAATCGAACCCTCAAGCCCAGTGTTCGAATGGTTTAATACCGTGTGCGCTTTAAAACCGCTACGTCATCGGGGTCGGAATTTATCAGACGCTTTTATGAACATTACTTCCTAATTTTAAGACGTCCATAGTGATTCTTTCGTGAAATGGAACCGTTCATTGTAGAGCTCATGTCATGTTATTTTGTTTCCAGTAATTCCTGTATGGTGGCGTAATATTGGACTCTGTCCTAATGACTTTCCTCTTTTCTGTTTCAGAGCAATGACAGCTGGCAGGGACATGACAGCGATCAGGTAAGTTTGCATACAAATATTTAGAATGTCTGTAGAGAATTTGCTACATGCGTCAGTGGTGTAACACTTTGGAAGCTACACTGTCAGTCCGATCATATGTAACACAATGCGGTTAAGATTTAAATTTTCGAATACAAATCCTGCTTACATGTTCGGACGATCGCGGTCCCGCCGTACTGTAGTGTTAACTGGGCTGCAGCGATTGCAGGGGCTTTCATCATACATCGTGTGGGCTGAGAGATTATTAGCAAAAATAGCTGTTTAGTTGCAGCGATCTCCATATAGGCGAGACACTCGCTTATCTAGTTAAGAAACACTCCGAATTTTATGGAACCCGAATGTTTATTGCTGTGTTCACAAGAAACCACCATTTTTTTTAATACGCCTCATATCCTTAGTAATTTCTTTCTACCTTCTACATTTGCTGCTCCAGTCGTATGTACATGTACGTCCTCTCCCATGGTACATGCCCTGCCCTTATAAATTTCTGTATTGCCACGCTATAATATTTTCGAGCGAAATACGAATTGTGAAGTTATTAAATAGACCTATTTCCTTCATCCTGCTGTTAACCCAAGCCCCTCCTTGGTTTTTAAAAATAACAATTTTTAACATGACTCTAAATATTGAAAACATTGAGCTTAAAATCATTTGTTAAAACGTTAATACAGTAAATTAAAGAGGTGTTCCATCATATTAATGCTTTAAAATATTTTTCTGTTACATATGAGCCAAAAATAGAGTATCTCCATCATCAGGGTAGTTGGTACTTATAATCCTGATGATCAAGGTAGTATGCTCCTCTAATGTCAGTCGATATCTACCAGGCCACGCTGGTGCAACATCCCGGAAGACAGTCATATTCATATTCGACGCCGTGATAACTTCGTATCTCATCTATATTAAATTTTCTGTCTTCACAAAAAATGTGTGTACCAACTTCAAGTGGTGTTAGGTAGGGTGTGGGGTCTTTATGACCGAAACAGGAAAGAAACTTGGTCAACTTCATCTCCTTCAGATTTTATTTTAATTTTACGGTCTACCGCTTGTCACTGTCTCTCTCGCTCTCTCTTTCTGTCTGGTTCCGGCAGTCTCATAGAGATTGGTTTTCCTGAGTAATACGCCATTGCCTTGTTTCAATCTACGACATTTTATCTCTGTTCAGACGAAATAACGGCGTGTTGCAATAGAAACAGTTTACGAAATTGTACACGGCGATAGAAATTTGATATAATATTTTTTTTCTAGCTGTATGTATTATTTTACAAAGTTCTGACAACAAACGTCTACAAATTAGCATTTATTTTTTTATTTAAATAATATGAGTCTGCACTTTCTGATATCATCCCGTCCAACAATTCTAATTGTGTTCTATTCTGTACGTTGTGACCTAGATCTCACAGTAAGCAATTTGTCTGTACTTTACTGAACGACGTATGAAAATACATCTTATGAATATCTCGTTTAAAAAATATCTAGTAGAAGTGCATGCTTTGGGTTATTTATCTTACGTGGATCATAAATTCGATCGTATCAACTATTGTGAACCATGTACCAAGCAAGACCCGAGAAATGGCACACAGAGACGGTGAGCGTTCGTGCTAGAAGACAGCGAGGAGAAGAGGCTCATTATTTTCTCGAGAACTCCCTTGAGCCCATCTCGAAACGCTCCACCGTGAAATTTAAAACCGACGCAACAATGAGTCCTCGCTCACGACGTAGATTGTAGATATATGCATATCTCTTCTTCCTCTTCTATCCCGTAGTCATGTTTTCATATCTAGAATAAAATAAAAGATGCAGATTCTGAGATCTTCGTGTATTCACGTGTCTGAATAATATATTGGTTGCACCGCTCACCAATAAGAGATAAATGGTACAGCAATGATATTCAAACTGATGTCATTTCGCATCTCACTGCTGTGTCCTTATAGCGAGTTTATTTCTGATGGTGAGTGCGTTGCCTGGGCGACATCCTTTGAAAATTAGTAATACGTATTTTATTATGCCATCGTCGGAATCCCTTACGATAAAAAAAACACGTTAACTCTTGCAGTTGTAATGTTACGTAGATATAGTTAATCGTATTTATAAAACCAGTGTGTGTCTGTTTGACCATGGGGACTCATTTGCAGAAGCTGCAAAACAGTAATGACATACATCTGCCCTCGAGGCTAGGCAAACCTAAACGCACAAAAACGACCACAACCAATCGTGTGTGTTGGTTATGTGTGTTATAGCGGTTTCACCTTTGACTTCCTTTATGTTAGTGTTTAAAGTGTAATGTTGTAATTATGTTGTATTGAATCTGTAAAGCAGGGGTGGCCAACCCGCGGCCCGCGGGCCGCATGTGGCCCGCCTTGAACATTTTTCCGGCCCGCGAAATTCATCACACTTTTACAAAATGTACGCTTAGTATCATTATTATTATATTATCTATGTTTACATGTAAGAATAATAGTAAACACAATAATAATAACTCATTATGTTTCAATTTTTCACTCCAAAAAAATGTCTATAGTGTATCTAAATCTAATATGGGGATATATAATTTTATATGTGGCCCGCGGAGTTATGATGCATTTCCAAAGTGGCCCGAAAGATCATTTGGGTTGGCCACCCCTGCTGTAAAGGTTTGTTAGTATTGGTGATTTTTAAATTTTGGTTCCGTGTTTTTCTTTACGTTGGAAAATAGAATTATCCTCATAGGAGGCGTTAGCGGTTAGAACGCTGGCCTTGTAATCCTGGGGTCTCGGGTTCGATTCCCGGCGGTGCCCGAATTTATAACTTGTGTTGGGCAAGGCCGTGGTCTAGGCAACACGGAGTTTTCCTCCGTGGCATCCCAACAATTACTCCATTCACACACAGAAGAAGGCAATGGCAAACCACTTCTGGATCATCTGCCAAGAACGTATATGAACAGATCCCAGTCCGAGAAAAGGATGGAAGGATCCTGTTCATATGGACCTGTCGTCAGACAGAACACTAAATAAATAATAGGAGGCGTGACTGTTGATGGCTAAACAATGAAAGCAAGATAGGAGTACACTAAAATTCCTAAGGTGTTCTTTATGCCACATCACAGGCAATGTCGTCATCAGGGCTAACAAGGGAAAAAAATTGCAACAGTGTGATCCAAGGTAATTGTAGTTATGTGATTAAAGACGCAACAAACAGACATGGTCGGTCCCATGAGCTGTTCTTTGCTCATGTTAAAGCTTTAATAGCTTCTGGTAATTTTAATAGGTTCTCTGTATGTACCACAATACACACAGCATGACAATCCGATCATGTAGTGTAGAGAGACCATGAAAACTAATTTACATTTATGAGCTTTATAAAGTAAATTTACATCAAATTATGAGACTAGTTTGAATTTCCGTCTGTTTTCACACTAGTATATATATATGTAATTATGCATATAATTGTCATGTATTTCTTGTTCAGAAAATCTTTATTACCTCAAAATATACGTTATTGATCTTAAAAGTACTTCAGTAATTAGAAACATTGTAATTTCAAGGGTATTTATTGACGCCGTGTGTAAACTCAATTGTTATCACCGACTTCTTACGCTGTTCTTGTAACTGACGTACGTCTTCCGAGAGAACAGTATGGACCAATTTAATTACGTGGTGTTGGTACATAGGAAAGGACGTTCTGGTGATATAACTTCTCTTATGACTGCTCAGATCCCATGGCACTAATAACTCTAATCTTTAACGACGGGTTTCGGTACGAAAACGCAATTTCTTTTAAGTTTTCTCATGTAGTAACCATTAAAAAAATTGAAAGAAAACATCGCAATGAGAGTTAAGATGGAGTCTTTTCGAGTGCGTATCTGCGTGAGATCACCGTAGCAGGCTTGTGTAACGGCTCCCTACAGATTTACACAGAGGCGGACGACCAGGAAATTTAATTTTACCCAAGCCTCATTTATTTATTCTCTGGAACGTCTCGACCTTCTTCAGTCCCCCATCGTCAAAGTTTTAAAATACTCCAATTTCTGCCTGCTGCTCAGTGTAACCATGCAAAAACCATTGGTTACCTCCGAACAGCCGGTAATAAATAAAAATGAACGTCGCGGTAGTGAAGTGGTTAAAACTCATGCTTCGTATTTGTGGAGTCCCGGGTTCAAATTTCGGTGCAGACAACTGCTATGCTGGCCGAAGCTTTCCTCAGATACTCCAGAAAAAATCGGAATTTTATCGTCTTCTTCAGTATCCCTTTTAGTTCATTATTAACCGTCCTGTCATTCGACGCTGTATAATTGACATAGCTGTCAAATGAACCATAATAAATACAGTATAACTGTTGCATAAACTCCAGGAACATTTTGGGTTTTACTAGAAAGCATCGTACTGTTGCTTTAGGTAAAAGTAAATATACAAAAGTGTGTGTGTGTGTATATATATATGCATGTATACATACATACATACATACATATAAGGAAGTTCGCTACTGTTTTCCGCAAAACAGTGATGTTTGACTCGTCATTGTATAATGGTGAAATATGACTGGCTTAGCTGAGCGGTGATCTAATCGCGAACAAAAGCCTCATACCATCAACAAAAGGTAACGCTGGTTTGAGCACCCGAAAACAAAACATTTTCTTACGCACATGAACCTGCGAGATCTTAAATAGTGTATTTTTTCCATCATTTGTCTGGGTTTGATATACGTTTTCAAACAAGCCAATCCACACGTTCCCCTTCTCCATTCTCATATTATAGCTCCTGTCTGCCTAACGTTTGACGAAACAGTCCGCTTTGCAGTTGTGTCACTTTGGCTGCATATCTCTCGGGCTGAACCAGCAGTTGCTCGTGACAGCTTCTTGCTTCAGACAGTGAGTGAATGACGTGGATTGGAAACTAGGCGCATTTTGTCAAGGCAGTATAATTATAACCTTAATAATAGGTATTCCCTTGGAATGTAATATGCTTAGAACATACGAGTTATTATAATCAATTTCTATTGTTCCTCGAAGAGTCAATGCTGTA